GCTGTTAAGTACGATGTTGGCTGTAGGGTTTCTCATATATGGCCTTTATTATGTTGAGGTACTTGCCCTCTATATCCACTTTGTTGAGAGTTTTTATCATGAATGTATGTTGAATTTTGTTGAATGGTTTTTCAGCATCTATGGAGATGATCATGTGGTTTTTGTCCTTCTTTTTGTTAATGTGGTGGATGATGTTGATGGATTTTCAAATGTTGTACCATCCTTGCATCCCTGAGATGAATCCCACTTGATCATGCTGTATGATGCTCTTGATGTATTTTTGAATTTGGTTTGCTAATAGTTTGTTGAGTATTTTTGCATCTATGTTCATCAGGGATATTGGTCTGTAATTTCCTTTTTTGGCAGGGTCTTTGCCTGGTTTTGGTATTAGAGTGATGCTGGCTTCATAGAATGAGTTTTGCTATATTCTCTCCTCTTCTGTTTTTTGGAAACCTTTAAGGAGAATGGATATTATGTCTTCTCTAAATGTCTGATAAAATTCAGTGGTAAATCCTTCTGGCCCTGGGGTTTTGTTCTTAGGTAGTTTTTTGATTACTGATTCAGTTTCGTTGCTGGTAATTGATCTGTTTAGATTTTGTTTCTTCCTTGATCACTCTTGGAAGGTTGTATTTCTCTAGAAAGTTGTCCATTTCTTCTAGGTTATCCAGTTTGTTAGCATATAGATTTTCATAGTATTCTCTAATAATTTTTTGTAGTTCTGTGTTGTCTGTTGTGATTTTTCCATTCTCATTTCTGATACTGTTTATGTGTGTAGATTCTCTTTTTTATCTTAATAATTCTGGCTAGGGGTTTATCTATTTTGGTTATTTTCTCAAAGAACAGCTCTTGGTTTCATTGATTTTTTTTCTATTGTTTTATTCTTCTCAATTTTATTTATTTCTTCTCTGATCGTTATGTCCCTCCTTCTGCTGACTTTGGGCCTCATTTGTTTTTCTTTTTCCAGTTTCAATAATTGTGACTTTAGACTGTTCATTTGGGATTGTTGTTCCTTCTTTAAATAGGCCTGGATTGCTATATACTTTCCTCTTAAGACTGCTTTCGCTGCGTCCCACAGAAGTTGGGGCTTTGTGTTGTTGTTGTCATTTGTTTCCATATATTCCTTGATGTCTATTTTAATTTGTTCATTGATCCATTGATTATTTAGGAGCATATTATTAAGCCTCCATGTGTTTGTGAGCCTTTTTGTTTTCTTTGTACAATTTATTTCTAGTTTTATACCTTTGTGATCTGAGAAGTTGGTTGGTAGAATTTCAATGTTTTTGAATTTGCTGAGGTTGTTTTGTGGCCTATATGTGGTCTATGCCAGAAAATTTTCCATGTGCATTTGAGAAGAATGTATATCCTGCTGCCTTTGGGTGTAGTGTTTTGTAGATGTCTGTTAGGTCCATCTGTTCTAGTGTGTTGTTCAGTGCCTCTGTGTCATTACTTATTTTTTGTCTGGTTCATCTGTCTTTTTGAGTGAGTGGTGTATCGAAGTCTTCTAAAATGAATGCACTGCATTCTATTTCCTCCTTTAATTCTGTTAGTATTTGTTTCACATATGTAGGTGCTCCTGTGTTTGGTGCATAGATATTTATAATGGTTATATCCTCTTGTTGGACTAACCCCTTTATCATGATGTAATGTCCTTCTTTATCTCATTGTTTTCTTTGTTTTGAAGTTATTTTGTCTGGTACAAGGATGGCAACTCCTGCTTTTTTCTCCCTATTGTTTGCATGAAATAACATTTTCCATCCCTTCACTTTTAGTCTGTGCATGTCTTTGGGTTTGAGGTGAGTGTCTTGAAAGCAGCATACAGATGGGTCTTGATTTTTTATACATTCTATTACTCTGTGTCTTTTGATTGGTGTATTCAGTCCATTTACATTTAGGTTGATTATCTACAGATATGTACTTATTGCCATTATAGGTTTTGGATTCATGGTTACCAAAGCTTCAAGCGTAGCTTCTTTTCTATCTAACCATCTAATTTTAACTCACTTATTAGGCTATTATAAACACAGGCTGATGATTCTTTTTTTCTCTCTCTTCTTATTCTTCCTTCTCCACTCTTTAGATGTTAGGTGTTTTATTCTGTACTCTTTTGTATTTACCTTGACTGCTTTTGTTGATAGCTGGTTTTATTTTTTGTCTTTAGTTAGTATTTGATTGGTCTGCTTTCTTTGCTGTGATTTGATTTTCTCTGGTGACATCTACTTAGCCTTAGGCATACTTCCACCTAGAGCAGTCCCTTTAAAATACACTGTAGAGGTGGTTTGTGGGTGGTAAATTCCCTTAACTTTTGCTTATCTGGGAATTGTTTAATCCCTCCAAATTTAAATGACAATATTTCTGGATACAGTATTCTTGGTTCAAGACTCTTATGTTTCATTGCATTAAATATATCATGCCACTCCCTTCTGGCCTGTAAGGTTTCTCTTGAAAAGTCTGATGATAGCCTGATGGGTTTTCCTTTGTAGGTGATCTTTTTTCTCTCTCTGACTGTTTTTAATACTCTGTCCTGTCTTTGATCTTCGCCATTTTAATTATTATATGTCTTGGTGTTGTCCTCCTTGGGTCCCTTGCGCTGGGAGATCTGTGGGCTTCCATGGTCTGAGAGACTATTTCCTTCTCCAGCTTGGGAAAATTTTCAGCATTTATTTCTTCAAAGATACTTTCAATCCCTTTCTCTCTCTTCTTCTTCTGGTACCCCTGTCATGTGAATATTGTTCCATTTGGATTGGTCACACCGTTCTCTTAATATTCTTTCATTCCTAGAGATCCTTTTATCTCTCTCTGCTTTGGCTTCTCTGTATTCCTGTTCTGTGATTTCTATTGCATTAACAGGCCCTACACCTCATCCAGTCTGCTCTTAAATCCTTCCAGTTTGTTTCATTTCAGTTTTCTCCCTCCAGAATTCATCCCTTAGCTCTCATGTATTTCTCCTCAGCTCCATCAACATGCTTATGACTTTCATTTTGAATTCTTTTTCAGAAGATTGGTTATATCAGTCTCACCAGGCCCTCTCTCTGGCATTTGAGTGATTTTGGACTGGTCCAGGTTCTTCTGCCTTTTCATGGTGATAGAAGTGATTGCCTGCAATTGGCGTGTGTGTCAGCTGGGAGAACAAAGTCTCTTCCTGCTTGCTGGTCACCTTGCCCTTATCTGCTACCTGTGCTGGTTAACTGCACACAGGAGGAGTCTCTGGGTTAATCCTGAGCTGCTGTGGGTGGGGGAGCACTTAGGATAGGGGCACTGCCTGGGGTCACAGGTGTGTGGCCTATGTTCTCCTGTGAGAATGGTGCCCCTTCGTGCCTTCTGGGCTTTGTGCTGTCTTCCTCTGCCTGTGCCTGGAAGCTGTGCACAGGGGGCAGCCTCTGGGTCTGGCCTGGTTAGCTGCACACTGGGAGGAGATTGTGTGTGGTTGCTGTGGGCTGAGCTGCTCCCGGGCTGGGCCACAGCAATGGCACGTCAGCTGATTTGCTTGCACTGGTGGTGGTGGGGAATGAATGGCAGGCTGCTTATTGCCATGAGGGGCTTCAGAACTGCATTGCCACTCAGGGGGTTAGGGCACCTGAAGTTCCTTAAAATTCCCAGCGAATGTGCCAGGATGATTTTGTCCACCTGTTAAACCCTTGTCTCTTTAAGACTTTAAAAGTGCCCGCTTTACTTTTGTCTCAGGGAAGCTGGCTGTGGGGACCTGTTCAGTCTCAGTCTTAGATTTCACTTTTCTGTTTTTCTAATATTCAGTACACCATGCAATGTGTGTCTGTGTTCCCAGTTCAGATTACTAGGGCTGGTTATTTAGCATTCCTGTGTTCCACTCCCTCCCCACTCTGATTCTTTCCCTCCCACCTGTCAGGCAGGGTGGTGGGGGGAGTGCTTGGGTCCCACTGGGTCACGGCTTTGTCTCTTACCTTTTTCGTGAGATGGTGAGTTCTCGCAGATGTAGATGTAGCTTGGCTGTTGTACTGTATCTTCTTGTTTCTCTTTTAGGAATAGTTGTCCTTGCTGTATTTTCAAAATATATATGGTTTTGGGAGGAGATTTTCGCTGCCCTACTCACACTACCATGTTGAGAAAATCCCCCATATACTTCTATCTTATAGTGCCTTTCCTCAAAGAGAATTTAATAACCAAACATACATTTACAACCAGAATTTGAAAGCTTGTACACCCTGCTTAGAATAACCTCTACTCTCAACTTTCCACATACTCAGCTCTTTTCATTTGTTCTCAGCTTACATGCCACCTCCAAAGAGATGAAACAGAGGAAGGAAAAACTCAGTTGGGAGACTTTCTTCTAGCTGCCATGGCTTGTAATTGTAAAGTGAAGTATGATTTTTTTTTGGTATCATTTATCTACAATTACATGAGGAACATTATGTTTACTAGGCTCCCCCCTTTACCAAGTCCCCCCCCATGAACCCCATTACAGTCACTGTCCATCAGCATAGTGAGATGCTGTAGAGTTACTACTTGTCTTCTCTGTGTTGCACTTCCCTCCTCCTGCCCCCCTGCCACATATACATGCTAATCATAATGCACCCTTTCTTCCCCCCCATTATTCCTCCCTTCCCACCCATCCTCCCCAGTCCCTTTCCCTTTGGTAACTGTTAGTCTATTCTTGGGTTCTGTGATTCTGCTGCTGTTTTGTTCCTTCAGGTTGTTCTTTGTTCTTATACTTCACAGGTGAGTGAAATCATTTGGTACTTGTCTTTCTCTGCCTGGCTTATTTCACTGAGCATAGCACCCTCTAGCTCCATTCATGTTGTTGCAAATGGTAGGATCTGTTTTCTTCTTATGGCTGAATAATATTCCATTGTGTATATGTACCACATCTTTTTGATCCAAAGGATGATTTTTAAGCATGTTATTCAATAAGTCTTATTACAGAAGAGTAATGGTATGAGAATTATAATCAAAATGTTTTCCTAAAGCAATAGTGTAATCAGTCGTCTTGATTGAATTGGAATAACATTCTTTAATGCTCTACACAATTTTTTTTTACAGATTTTATTGTTTTAGGTTTATTTGGCTTCAGAAAAATAAGTAATTTCTATATCTTCTAAGCATACCATTTACTGAGTTTCCCCAACTGTTAAAATCTTATTTTAGTTTGATATATTTATGAATGAGTCACTATTAGTGATTATGATATTAAAAGTTATTTTTGTATATTCTATGGGATTTCATGACTATATATTGTCATTAAAATGTCATATAGAATAGTCACACTTCCCTAAAGTTCCTCTGTGCTCCACTTATGCATCCCTTTCTTTCTCTGAATCCCTGGCAATCACTTATGTTTTTTTCTCTCTATACTTTTGCCCTTCCATAATATCATATACTTGGATGACAGTATATAACCTTTGGAATTAGTTGTTATTTGGTACTTAATATTCTCAGTTTGGGGGCTTCAGTGGACATTATCAGATAGAAAGAGTCCCATTTAAACAATATAAAATATAAGAAAAAACACAAGACGTAATAATCTGATCCATATGGTGTTGCTGGAAATGCAGAACTTAAGCAGTTTGAAGTCAGCAATCTGTTTGGTACATTCTTTAGCTGATATAAATCTGGAGATAAAAGAATAAATATTTTTGAGTCAAGATTTATACCCTTATAGTATTCTTGAACAAGAGGCTGTAGCTACTGTGACATACAGTTAAATGCAACAAATACTTTGAATATTGTTGGGATTGGATAAATACATAAAAAGGGACAAGAAATTGTTAGTGCACAAATTTGAGTAATGAACCAGCTTGGTGAGTTGGCTATAATAAATGTATCCTCTCATTCATAATCAGAGTGTGGACTGAGCCAGCAGAAAGAATGGCTGCCCTTAGTTTAGCAGTGTTCCTGAGCAGTAATGCTTGTGAGGTTTTTATATCTGCAGGATTGCAAATATATATCAGAGGATTAGATGCTTACTCTATGACATGGGTTCTCAATGCTAGCATTAAGTATTTGTGGAAAAGGCAAAAGGATCTCTATTGCCACTCCCTGAGAAGCCCAGATGTCCTGTTCATTTTCCTCAGCAAGGTTCAGCTGGCTGTTACTTTTCCTTTATTTTACTCCTAACTGAGTATAATTGGTTTCATGCCACATCTCTGATACTGACTACAGGCACTATCAGGATGCAGCACCCTAGCTTCTAGGCCATTCCTCAGCCTGCCCTGATCCTATTACCTCAGGAACAAATTTTGTCTCTTGCAGTGAGACTAACTGGACAGAGCCCCTTCACCCTTGGTCCAAGGATCGATCTATGAAATTAAAACAATAGTTAGTTTGCCTTCATTTACTATTTATGATATCTGGTCAAGATAGTGCTTATGTATATCATTATTAATCTCCATTTTTTAATCTATCTCTTAAAAATGTCATCAAACCTTTTTGAGGATAGTTCACTTAAGGTTAAGGAATTTTCAAATTTGTGGCTCTGTCATCAGCCCACTCAAACTCTGCAGCTGCTTTATGTTTTGCCCACCTTTCATTGCTGTATCTCTAAGGCCTTCAATACTAGTACTTCCATTGTTTTTGTATACTTAAAGAAAAACAAAGAAAAGTTCTCATTCTTAGCTAATTCGTATTTTGAACATGACAAATAAATTACCATTGAATGAGAAATGATAGTTGTTAAAAGAATGTTACATATAAAGTGTTGGTTATCTATAAAAACCATTAATTATATTCAGAAGGATTTTAGATGGCCTCACCAAGGAGGTGCCATTACTGTTGGATCTTGAAGGATGACTCAGATTATAGCAAAGAGAGATTGGAAGAAATGTATTTTACACCAAAGGAAGGGAATAAGCACATATACAATGGTAGTGAGCAAATGCCAGGAATAAACTGGGGTCCCCTATAGCCATAGACTTATTGAAGATGAGGTTGAAAGATCATCTTATTCATAATCATGGGAACTGGGAACTAGGTCATGAAATTTATTCCAGAGGCAGACAGAGTCTTTAAAGGTTATTGGCATGCTCAGAACAGTACGTGAGTTCCACACTCTGATAACAGAAGGAGAAAGACAATAAAGTAAGGACATTGGAGATAGAGATCACCTCAGAGATTGCTGCTACAGTTTAGAAGACACATTATAGACTTATCACTTTAGGTTTGTGTGGAGCATTGCTCCACAGGGTTGTTTCTTCCACTTTGTTCTGTATCCACTGAGTAACTGTATCATCAGCAAGGCCAAAGCTTGACTGCTGCCAAATCTGATCCAGCAGGAGGGAAAAGAAGGGCTGGTGGAGTACAGGAGCAAAATTCTGTGACCCAGACCCTCAATAACATATATATACTTCTGTTCATATCTCATGTGTGAATACAATCACATGGCCACTGTTAGCTGTAAGAGGAGCTAGAAAAAACATAATGTCCAGCTAGGTTGTCATGAGCTCATTTTGGTAACAGAATCTTATAATATTTACAGCTGAAATGCCTGTTATTACTATAAAAGTTTATGAACAATATTAGAGACAGACTTTTTTTATGGGTTCTGAAATTAAACTTGGCCATTTTGAGAGTTGAACACAAGCTAGGCTGAGTATAGCGGCCCTGTCCTTCCTGAGACATAAACACTGTGGGAAGAAAAGGGTGGGCACATGACTATAGCCTGAATAGAAAGAGTCCTTCCTCACCAACTGGATCAAAGAAGCCCCCTCTTGTATCTCTTTTGTTGTTGATGGTGGTGGTTTTCATTTTATTTATGAAGCTACAAAGTTGTGATTCTAGAGAGGAGGAGTCTAAGGCTAGTTATTTTTAGATGTCTAGCAAGATGCTCTTATTATTATATAGCAGTGAAAACATTTAATTGGTATCTTTCTTTCAGCTTTCATTGCTTGTAAATTGCAAGGAAAAATAACTTTTTTGTGTATTTTGTTAAGGCTAAGTAATAAGAGTATATTTATGGTAAGGGAAGAATTGTTAAAACAGTTTCCTAAACTGAAAGTTAATGAGACTTGATTTAATAGAAATGACTTTTTCATGCTCTATTAACTTAACTCCAAAAATGATGGCATAACATGTTAGAAATTTTGTTTTGAAGCACTTAGTGCACTCAGCTTTGCAGCATAGCATAAATTCTCAGACAGGAAATATCTCGCTTTAACATCCTGCTACACAAAGTTTGGTGAAAACCACAAATTGGCAAATAACCAGATCTTTGAGAAAGACACAAACTTGATGCAGTTTCTGTTCAGAAATCTGGTGAGTACAACTGTTTAGCTACAAAACTGAGTGGAAAAGAATGATGGCCCTTCAGGGACATAACTCAGAGGCTTAGGGAACACTAGAACTGGGGAGTTTAGCCACTGTGGCATAACAGTAAAAACAGTCCAAAACCAAAATCACCTTGGATTTGAGTTTACAGAAGTATCTTTCAAGCTATTCTCTAAGAGAGTCCCTGTGCCCCTTCTTCACAGAGGTTCAGGCCATGGCGCCTCCCTCCCCTTGTCCACCCTTACATGAGGCAAAAACCTAGTCTTGTGCCACATCTCTGATGGTGATCACAGGTGGAGCCCCAGCCTTTTGCCCATTCTTTTTTCAGGAGGACCCTTCATAGACTCAGATTGCTCTGACCCACTAGAGAAGAGATTCAAGTGACTCACAAATATACTGATGTGAAGAAACCTCTCATGCTTCTTCCAGAAACCCAATTAGTGGAATATCTTAACAAGAGTCAGCTGGTATAGCTCCTCTGTAGCCTGTGGATTCCATTTTGGTGTGGGGAAAGCATATGTAAGTGAACTGAGGTACTGTCTCAAGTGTGGTCCCTTTATACCTTTCCAACACTTGTCAAGGATGGTCCATTTTAAGTTGAGGAATTGTTAAATTTGTGACTTAAGTGTCAGGTCAGAGTTAAACAGATAACTGTGCATTCAAAAGCCTCTTTGAGTCCCATTTATAGAGGGGAAATCACTATTCTTCAGCTTAATATTTTCTTCTTACAATTGTTGGGGGTATTGAAGAGTTCACACAATTAAAGTGGACAGACTTCAGTATTTGGGGCATGTATTTTCCATACAAGCTACTCTAGAAAAGAAAGCAGGATGTAACATAATATCTGAATTCCTAAATGTGTGTGCACTGATCAGTAGGCACCTTAAACCTTTAGCCTTTATACAGTGTTATGTCCCTACAAAGTTAATATAAAGCTTTGTGAAAAGGAGAGAGAACATGAACTCACCATCACTCACAATGACATCTTTGGGGAATCTGAGCCTCCTTTCTCTGGACACTGGAAATTTCAAGTGTCTATTAAAGGAATTTAATCAATGAGATGTTTTTCTATAGTGAAACTTCATGGCTTAGATATTTCAAGCATGATTTCTACAAACATATATGTAACAATAGTTTCAGATTTACATAAGTTCTTCAAGGACACCAAAAATAGGGTACATTATTCAACTCATTATTTGAGACTTGTAACATTCTTAATACCAAATATGACCATGGTTATATAAAGTAATATAAATGTTTATATCAATTATAAATAAAGAGACAAGAATTCTAAACCAGATATTAGCAAACAAAATTCTGCAGTATATAGCAAGGTCCCAATAATGCATCACTAATTAAACTATTTTAAAAATCACTCACATTAAAAGGATCTGATTAGACTACTTGGGCTTAAAGATGGCGGTGTGAGAGGTGAGAAAGAAACCTCCTCCCCAAACCACATATAATAAGAAAATAGAGCAAATACAACTAATCCTGAAAGAACAACAGGAAGGAAGGCTGCAACAGACTGCCTTACATTTGGGGAAAAGAGCAGACCTCATGGAAAAGGATAAAGTACCAAAGTCTTGATCCGGTGGGACCCAATCCCTTCCCCCACCCCAGCTCACCAGCAGGAGGAAGAAAAATGGAATGGGGAGGGGGTGGAGGCTTAGGACTGCTGAACACCCAGCCCTGGAGATCTGCTCTGGGAGCATGAACCTACATTACATGGTGATCTGGAGATTAGTGGGGTTGGAAAGCTAAGACAGGCAGAATACTTGGAGAGACTGAGATTCCAGCCGCTTGCGGAGAATAGACACCCATAACCGGCCACTGTGGGACAAAAGAAAGGCTGGCACTCTGAGAGACCTCCCAACAGCCAGAGGGCTGTTAAAGGGGCAAAGATTACACAGAGCTTGGTGCTCAGGAGAAAGGACAGGTAAATAAAATTGTCTGAGCACAACCAGCCCGCAGGTTGGGAACTTTCAGGAGCTTCAGGCACTCCATTCCTCTGGCTGGCAATGCAGCTCTGAGGCCCCCCAACCATGATACACAGCCTGCTGTTCCTTCCTCCCAGCTAGGACTGGCTTACAAACCAGCTGCCTCTGCCATTGGGCCAGGCCAGTCAGAGGGTGGCCTCAACTACAGCGGCTACAGGGGCATAGCATAGAGATTCCTCCCTGTGTGCTCAGCACAGTGTGCCCTGACAGTGGAGGCAGGAACTGCAGCCAGGAAGCAGGAAAGAGCTCTTTCCTCCTGGCAGGCACCAGCGCCATTCACCTGGAACCCCATCATTGCTCTAGGGGCTGAGCAATTCCAGAGAGTAGAGCTTCTGGGCACTAGAGCGCACCTCCCATACCAAGTTATTACAAACATGAAACATCAAAAGAACCTGGTACAAACCAAAATCCCACAAACACCAGAAAGAGGGTGAAGTGAAACTGAACTCACCAATCTTCCTGAAAAATATTTCAAAATGAAAATAATACATGCTCATGGAGCTATAGAAAAATATTCAAGACCTCAGGGAGGAATTCAAGAAAGAGACAGAAACTTTGAAAAAATACAGTACCTGAAATAAAACACACAATGGAGGGATTTAAAAGCATATTGGATGAAGTAGAGGAGATAGTAAATGAAATATAAATTAGAGAACAGGACTACAAAGAGGCTGAGAGGCACAGAGAGAAAAAAGGATCTCTAGGAATGAAAGAATATTGAGAGAGCAGTGAGACCAATCCAAATGAAACAATAGTCACAATATAGGTATTTCTATCACATAAAGGGAGAGAAAGTGTCTTTGAGGAGGTAACTGCTGAATACTTCCCCGAACTGGTGAAGGAGATAGTATCTCAGGCCATGGAAGTCTACAGATCTCCCAAAACAAGGGAACCAAGGAAGACAACACCAACACATATAATAATTAAAATGGCAAAGATCAAGGATAAGGATAGACTATTAAAAGCAGCCAGAAAGAGAAAAAAGATCACATACAAAGGAAAGCCCATTAGGCTACCATCATATTTCTCAACAGAAACTTTACAGGCCAGAAGGGAGTGGCATAATATATTTAATGCAATGAAACAGAAGGGCCTTGAACCAAGAATACTCTATCTAGAAAGATTATCATTTAAATTTGAAGGAGGGATTAAACAATTTCCAGATAAGCAAAAGCTGGGGGAATTTATTCCCACAAACCATCTGTACAGTGACTTTTGGAGGACTGCTATAGATGGAAGTGTTTGTAAGGCTTAAATAGCTGTCACCAGAGGAAATAAAACCACAGTAAAGGAATTAGATGAATTAATTACTAAGCAAATGTAAAATTAAATCAACTACCCCAAAGTCAGTCAGGGAACAGAGAAAGAGTACAGAATGTGATACCTAATATATAAAGAATGGAGGAGGAAGAAAAAGGAAAAAAAAAGAACCTTTAGATTTTGTTTGTAATAGCATACTGAGTTAAGTCAGACTGTTAGACAGTAATGATGCTACCCGTGACCCTTTGGTAACCATGAATCTAAAGCCTGCAATGGCAATAAGTACATATCTATCAATAATCACCCAAATATAAATGTTATGAATGCACCAATCAAAATACATATTCCCTGAACGGATAAAAAAACAAGACCCAACTATATGCAGTGGACAAGAGACTCACTTAAACTCACAGACATACACAGACTAAAAGTGAAGGGATAGAAAATATATTTTATGCAACTAATAGGGAGAAAAAAGCAGGTGTTGCAGTACTTGTATTAGACAAAACAGACTTCAAAAAAAAAGAGAATAACAGAGATAAAGAAGGACATTACATAATGATAAAGGGGTCAATCCAACAAGAGGATATAACCATTATAAATATCTATGCACCCAACACAGGAGCACCTACATATATGAAACAAATACAAAGAGAATTAAGAGGGAAATAGAATGTGATGCATTCATTTTAGGAGACTTCAACACACCACTCACTTCAAAGGACAAATCAACAGAAAATAAGTACAGAGACAAAGGCACCAAACAACACATTAGAACAGATGAACCTAATAGACATCTACACAACACTCTACCCAAAGCAGACAGATACACATTTTTCTCAGGTGCACATGGAACATTTTCAAGAACAGATCATATACTAGGCCACAAAGAGCCTCAGTCAGTTCAGATGGACTGAAATTGTTCCAACCAGCTTCTCAGATCACAAGGGTATGAAACTAGAAATAACTTTTGCAAAGAAAATTAAAAAAATCCCACAAATACATGTAGTCTTAACAACATGCTCCTAAATAAACAATGGATCAATGACCAAATAAAAACAGAGAGCAAGCAATATATGGAGACAAATGACAACAATAACTCAGTACCACAAAATCTGTGGGACGCAGTAAAGGCTGTGCTAAGAGTGAAGTATATTGTAATACAGACTTACCTTAGGAAAGAATAATAATCCAATATGAACAGTCTAAATGCATGAATTTAGAAAAGGAAGTTAATGAAGTTAAAACTAGAAAAGGAAGAACAAATGAGGCCCAAAGTCACTAGAAGGAGGGAGATAATAAAGATTGGGGCAGAAATAAATAAAATTAAGAAGAATAAAGCAATAGAACAAATCAATAAGAGCAAGAGCTGGTTCTTTGAGAAAATTATCAAAATAGATAAACTCCTGGCCAGAATTACAAGAAAAAAAGGGAAGTCTACACACACACACAATCAGAAGAATCAGAAATGAAAAAGGAAAAATCACTATGGACACCACAGAAATACAAAGAATTGTTAGAGAATACTATGAAAAATTATACACTAACAAATTGCATAATCTAGAAGAAATGGCCACTTTCTAGAAAAAGAAACTTCCAATGCTGATCTAGGAAGAAACAGAAAATCTGAACAATTAGCAGCAACAAAATTGAATTTGTAATAAAAAAAACTACCTAAGAACAAAACTCCTGGTGCAGATGGATTCACTGCTGAATTTCATCAAATACTTAGTGAAGACCTAATACCCATCCTCCTTAAAGTTTTCCAAAAAGTAGAAGAGGAGAAAATACTTCCAAATTCATTCTTTGAAGCCAGCATCACTCTAATACCAATAGCAGGCAAAGACACCACAAAAGAAGAAAATTACAGACCAATATCCCTGATGAAAATAAATGCAAAAATACTCAAATATTAGCAAACCAAATTAAAAAATACATCAGAAAGATCATCCATCATTATCAACTAGGATTAATTCCAGGGATGCAAGATAGTTGCCCTCCATGCCCATTTTGTTGAGAGTTTTTATCATGAATGGATATTGAATTTTGTCAAATGCTTTTTCTGCATCTATGGAGATGATCATGTCGTTTTTGTCCTTTTTGTTGATGTAGTGGATGATGGTGATGGATTTTCGAATGTTGTACCATCCTTGCATCCCTGGAATAAATTTTACTTGATCCTGATGGATGAACTTTTTGATGTATTTTTGAATTCAGTTTGCTCATATTTTGTTGAGTATATTTGAATCTTTGTTCATCAGGAATATTGGTCTGTAATTTTCTTTTTTTGTAGTGTCTTTGCCTGGTTTTGGTATTAAAGTCATGCTGGCTTCATGGAATGAGTTTGGAAATATTCTTTCATAGTCTCCTTTTTGGAAAACTTTAAGGACGATGGATATTAGGTCTCCACTAAATGTTTGATAAAATACAGTGTTGAAGCCCTCCAGTTCAGGGATTTTGTTCTCACATAGTTTTTTGATTACCAATTCAATTTCGTTGCTGGTAATTGGTCTGTTGATATTTTCTGTTTCTTCCTGGGTCAGCCTTGGAAGGTTGCATTTTTCTAGAAAGATTTCCATTCCTCCTAGGCTATCCAGTTTGTTAGCATATACTTTTTCATACTATTCTCTAATAATTCTTTGTATTTCTGTGGTGTCCATACTGATTTTTCCTTTCTCATTTCTGATTCTGTTTATGTGTGTAGACTCTCTTTTTTTCTTGAAAAGTGTGGCGAGGGGTTTATCTGTTTTGTTTATTTTCTCGAAGAACCAGCTC